TGTTGGTTTAAGATGTTCTGCACTATAGTAATACATAAATTTTAAACACTTGAATTTTGCAACATATATAATTTTTTTTAATTAATATGATTCATTACTTTTGTAACTTTAAAGGTAAGTATCAAATATATATTACAAATCAAAATTTTTACATAATAAAAAAATTTTTTTTTTATCATTCTTAGTTATATAGAATAGCATAATCACAAGAATCATGAAAAATAAAACCAAGTCTTACCTGTCAATTGAAAAGCGTACTAGGATTTATACTCTTCTTAAGGAGGAATATTCTATATGAATGGTTGCTTTTCACGAAGGAGTTAGCCAGGCAACAGTGGTACGAGTTTATAAAAATAAAGATACCATTGGAGGCTTTATGAATAAGTCAAAATCCAGTCACTTGCAGGTTATTTCTATATACGATGAGAAGAGAATCCTTCACCTCATTGCTTCTAGCAAATGTTCCACCATGGTTGAGGGCAAGCAAAGCTACAAGAGGAAGATCAGTTAGAAATTTCTGCACAGACCATATATCGCACTCTTTAGAGAAACAGTCTAGTATCAAGAATTAGGTGTCGGAAACCTCTCCTCTAAAAAAAACATTACCAACAATGACTAAAGTTCGCCTGCCGGTTTAAAAATTGGAAAATAAAAGATTGAAAGAAGATGGTGTGGTCTGATAAGAGTAAATTCCAGGTTTTTGGATCAGATAATCATCAGTATTGTTGAGAAGAACCCAGTGCATCTTTAAATACTATGAATGTAACTCTAACAGTAAAGAATAGAGGTGGTTGTATCATAGTATAGAGTTGCTTTACCTTACTAGGTGTTGGCTATCTTTGTTATATTGATAGGGGCCTCAATGGTGAGCTATATCATCAGATCCTTGATGAAGATTTTTCTTGGCACCCTTGAGTGATATGGCCTGAATGTTAGGGACATCATCTTTCAACAAGATAATGATCCAAACACATTGCAAAAAAAACTAAAGAGTGGTTTGAGAAGAATAGCATTGAAGTCTTACCTTGGCCATCTCAGTTCCCAGACCTCAATCCTATCAAACACTTATGGAATGAGATAGAGTGACATCTTAGGAGACTTCCAGAATGAACCACGGGAAAAGAGGACCTGTGAACTAAGATACAGTCTATATGAAATGGTATTGAATTAGATGTTCTTAGTAAATATGTTAAGTCTATACCTAAACAGGTAAAAGTAGTAATTAAGGCAAAAGGAGGATATACAAAATGGTAATTCGTAATATAAGATAAATAAAAAAAATAATAATAATAAAGGTGTTTTTTTAAAATAAAATTTTTTATATATTAAAAATTTTATTAAAATAAAGTTCCATATGTCTTGAATCACATTAATTAAATAAAAAAAAATTTTTTTTTTAATTATTAAATATATTTAATTAAAAATTATATATATTTATTTATTAAATCTTAAGTAATATATAAAAAAAAAATTAGATATAATTATTAATAAAAAAAATTTTTTTTTTTAATTTAAAAAAACTTTTATAAATAATTCATTACTTTAGTAAGCCACTATATTTAAAGAAGTTATTTTTCTTTGAAAAATAATAAAGTTGTCTGGTTTTTCTTTAATTTAATAAAGTTTTTTTTTATTAATCATAAACAATATTTTATTTATAATATTTTTAATATGAAATGTTATATACAATATTTAAACTTTTTAATTTTTTTTTAAAAAATAATATTATATATAAAAAATTATTATTATTATTTTAATATAAACTTGTAATTCAAAAAACAAAAATTATTTATAATAATATATAGAAACTTTTTTAAATAATAATTAATTAATTATAAAAAAAAATTTTTTCTAATTGTATCCATTTTGCTTAAAATTTCTATTTATAATAATTTTGATTAAAAAAAAATGCTCTATATTTTTTATTGCAAGTAGGCTTCAGCTCAGAAATTCAAAAACATTAAAGACAACTGGTACAATGGAATAGAACCTCTGGTCAAAGTTTATTCAAGTTTGAAAGTTTTGTTTATTCTTCAGTTGTATAAAGAAAGGCTTATAGCAGTACAAATTTATTTTTTGATTCTTTTGCAACCCAAGTCTTTTTAATATTATAAAAATTATTCTTATTAATATTATTATGCTTGATAAACTTATAAACATTTTTCAAAAAACATACTTAAAAAAAGTTATAGAATTAATATTTGTTTAAATACAACTTTTATATATTTCTCTATTCTGGTATTACTTATTATACTACTTAAAAAAATTCACAATTTTTTTTAGTCTTAAAAACTGAAATCAATTTATTCATTTCAATTAATTAATGCCTGGCAAATGTTTAATCAAAATTCATTATATTACTTAAATCAAAACAATAAAACTGGTTTAAACCAGTTTATTAATTTAACAATAATAACAATAATAATAAATGATTTAAGCTGATTTATTAATTTAACAATAATAACAATAATAACAACTATAAACAACTTCAAATATATTTTATTATTTATAATAACAAAAGCCATATTAACAAATTATAAAGAATTAAAAAGATAGGACAATAAGTCTAACTAGAGATTTTCTTGAGAATATAACTTTTATTTTCACAGATTTTATAATCTATTCAATTTAGTTTTAGTTTTAATTACTTTTATTTTTTTTTCAAATTTCTCAAATATAAAAGTTTTTTTTTTTAATAAAAAAATATAATTATTATTCAGCTTATATTTAATAATAGTATTATTTAAAAATTTTTTTTTTTATTAATTAGATATAGTATATATAATCAAGTTAACATTTAACTTACTACAAGTTACATATGAGAAATTGTTTTTTTCATATTACAAAATATATAAATAAATAAAGAAATAATATTTTCCTATTCAAAAAAATAATAATAATAATTAATTAAAAATATTAAAAATTTTTATATTAAAATTTAAGATTTAATAATAGTTTAATATATTTTTATTATTATAAGATTTTATTGTTTGGTTTTTTTAAAAAAAAATAATTAGACCTGTGATCTATAATATAGTAATTAGTGCTTCACAGGTCAGATCATAAGATACTAGTTTAATCCTATATGAAGGCAGTTAAACAGAATTAACATGATATCTGGTACCATAACTATTTATGTGCCGTTTCTTATAAGAAGCCAATTCATATACCAATTTAGTGGGTGTCAAGATTGTAGTTTCTAGAAAAGGTGATGTAGTGTAATGATCATCTGGTTGGTGTCACGATGATTATTTGAAGAAAGAAGATAAAAAAAGTGATAAGATGTCTGTTTCTGAGTAAAATGGCTTGGTAATCGTTTCTTTGTGATACCTAATGTCTCTTTCTGTTAAGATGGTTGTCTCTACAAAGTTTTATTTGCTACAATAGATACTACCCTCAGTTTCTCCTTTTATTTTCCCTTATAATATTTCCGGTTAGAAATAGAATGTCATATATTAGTACAAAGTAAGACATCTGAAGGGATTGTTGGCAAGGTCATTAACATATCTAGGTTAGTAAGTGCTATTATTGTATAGAAGTTGCACCTTACTTGATATTTATGCCTTTAGATTTAACAGTCTAAATTAACTGAAAGCCTATAGAATATCTACTGGGAGATTTAGAAGTCACATCCCATTTGGTTAGCAACTGAGTCCTCAAATTTGATAGTGTATACCAACCATGGGAACAACTTTTAAAGTATTTACTAGGAAGTATACATATGTGCGGAAAGCCATACAGCTGTATGAATTAGAAACAATGTGATTGACAAGATGATTTGTAGAAGACTAAAATGTGCTTGGTAAGAATCATCCTTCGCAAACTTGGCTATGGATCCACTCACATGGTGTAAGTTGGTATCTGGACAATAAAATGGATTAGTAATGGTTAAACTTATAGTTAGTAGTAATATTAGTATGTATAAGATTGCAATGTATGGTTCGAATGCAATAATTCAATAAAAAACCATGACATTAAGTACTCATTCACCTTAAAAAAAAAAATAAAAATAATAATAATAATAATAATAATAATTAATAACAGAAAAATTAATTATTAAATTAAGACAAGATCTTAATTTGATTTTTTTTTAAAAAAAAATAAACTAATATAAAAAATATATATTAAACTTTTTTAAACAAAACAAATATTTTAATATCTTGTTTTTTTTGTTATAATCAATATATTATTAAATTTGTTTTATACTATATATATAAAAATTATATAACTTATTTAAATTTTTTTTTATATTATATATTAATTAAATATCTTAAAATTTTTATTAATATTATTTAAAATTCTTATATAATATTTATTTTTGATAATAATGTTTAAATATGATTTTAAAAATAAAATAAAATAAAAAAGTTTATTATCATTATTATTATTTATAAGCAAGATTCTAAAATTAAAAATTATTATTTATTATTATTATTTATTCAAATACAATTTTATATGTATATTATATTTTAATTAATTAAATAAATTTACTTAACTTTAAATAATTTTTATTGATTTAATTGATTTAAACAATATTTATTCAAATTATAAGAATTTCAATTGTTTTTTATCTTTAATACTTTCATAAAAATAAGTAAAAATATATTTAATAAATTTTTTTTGCCATTTATAACAAATATTTCAAAATTTTATTTCTTAAAATAATAATTTTTTGAAAAATTTAACATTATTTTATTTTACTTTAATACAAATTTTAATCTTTTTTTATATATACATATATATGTATATAAATGTATTTAAAAAAGAATAAATATTAACATTGACATTATTTAAATTTCTTTAAATATAATCCAATTTTTTACCAACCTTGCTAAACAAAAAAACAAGTCAACACCATAGCTATTTTTAGCTAATAGCTAATAAGATTATAGATATATTCAAATTACTATTGAAGTTAAATCACCACCCAATTGTAATAAAGAAAAAATCAGATAATGCACATTTATATATATTTACCGTGACCTTAAATATAAAAAGTTCTACTTTTCTTCAGTTGTTTGGCCGCCTAAATTATACTCTTTCAATAGGGCATCAATTTCATCAGGTTTATAAAGATGATATACAACTTTCCCTTCCTCATTAAGACTGATGGTGGCAAATTCCACTAAAAGAGAACGATAATTTTTTGTTAATATAGCACTACTCGACAACTATAATTCCGTCCGAAAAAGTATTACATTTTTCACTGCTCAGAGTAGTAGAGTCCATTGTTTTACTCAACACTTTTGCCACAATTTCCTTTGCTTCCTTAAGGGTAATGTCATCTTTATAATCCTGTTTTAATAATGATTGAGCCGTCGCGTTATTAGCTCCGATACACGTCGCCTTCCATCCACCATAATTTCCAGATGGATCAGAATGATAAAGTTGAAGACCGTAGTGACTATCATAACCAGCGTAGATGAAAGAGACACCAAAAGGGCGTAGACCTTATTTTACATAGATGATAAGAATCGGTAAAGATAAAGAAAAGTAATTTCTTGCTCTAAAATATAATTGGTTACCTCCGTATTGTGTGTATCCCTGTTTTAGATCACATAGCCTTTGCACCAACTGCTCAACAGGAATATCCTCGTTATAGGTGAGCAGATACTGCTGAGCGGCCTGGCGAGCATAGGATATGAGAATGTTTGCATCCGCGGTGATCCCTGCTACACCACAAATGACGTTACTACA